AACTAGTCTTTCCTTTGTTCTCTTTCTCGTACTGAACGCGAATTGCTTTTTATTTCACGAATGCAAAAGAGGCAACTAGGTCTCATGCAGTGCTGAAGTCTTTTATCAGCTCAGCACCTTAGCCCTTAGGCTCTAGGAGCGACTGCATCTGCCATGGTGTTGAGAGCGAACTAGTCTTTCCTTTGTTCTCTTTCTCGTGCTGAACGTGAATTGCTTTTTATTTCATGAATGCAAAAGAGGCAACTAGGTCTCATGTAGTGCTGAGGTCTTTTATCAGCTCAGCACCTTAGCCCTTAGGCTCTATGAGCGAACTGCATCTGCCATGGTGTTGAGAGCGAACTAGTCTTTCCTTTGTTCTCTTTCTCGTGCTGAATGCGGATTGCTTTTTATTTCACGAATGCAAAAGAGGCAACTAGGTCTCATGCAGTGCTGAGGTCTTTTATCAGCTCAGCACCTTAGCCCTTAGGCTCTAGGAGCGACTCATAGTCCACTCTCCATAATATTATTTAGATGACGTGTGGCCTGACCAATTCACTTAAGCGGGTGGTCATTCTGTTGTACCCTTAGATGTGGCTACTTCTACATTGTCACTTGAGATTGACTTCCTCGGGAAGGTGCTTGCAAGATCATGGCATACTACTCCTCGAACCGTTGATTGTCTGCTTCTATTGGAGTCATGGGAGGCTCACCCTAAGGGGGCAGCTCTGCTGTCTGCGGACCGCCTACACTCACGGGAACCATAAGGGGCTCGATCTATGAGGGCGGTTCCACTTTCAGCTCGCTTCCAACTCTCAAGGGGGCCATAAAAGATCGATCCGTAGTGAGGCTTCACAGTTCGGGCTAGAGATAGTCCGGGTTAGATCGCTAAGGCTCGCCCGAGCTGGTTATTTGTTTTTGTTCCATTCGTAAGTTTTGTCATTACTTTCGACGTCAGATGATAAGTTGATGCCGTGGTTGCACTACATTAGCCTTTAGAGACGCTGGTCATCAACTCCTACGAGAAGCCACAGGGAGCTCGACTTGCGGGAGCAGCTCGACTAGCTGTAGGTTGCCAAATCGTGTGGGAGCCTTGAAAGGATCGACCAGCAAGGGCGTTCGCACAGTCCGTAGGCTGCTAACTCCCATGGGAGCCACGAAGGATTCAACCTGTAGGGGAGCTGCTTAATCGGTTGGTCATCAACTCCTGCGAGAACCATGAATGGCTCGACCTGAAGGGGCGGGCTTACTTCGAGGTGCTTGTTGCCAGGTTGTTGGTTATTAAGGTCATTCTGCTATTGATTGCTCGAATGCACCGAGCTTCTTGATTGTCATGGAGGAGGGTTCTCATGTTCTTACCCCCCCGCCCCCTAGTAATTGATTCTTTGTTCTTGACGTTGGTGCTGCTTAAAAATGCATTTGAATTAATAAAAATGGAAATTATAGAGTGAGAACTTAAATTTTTAAAAGATGAGATTTTAGCTTTCTAGAAGAAGAGGACTTAGCCTTTTAGAAGGTGAGAACTTAGCTTCTTGTAGCGTTTCCCACAGATGGCACCAATTGATGAACGGTGTTTTGGCAGCACCATGTTGTTTCTGACTACTTCCTGGTGTTTGATGACTCAAAGGTCGAGTTGGAGTATTTCTACTGAATAAAGGCTTGGATGTCGAACTGACTGGATTGAATTAGGAGGCTGCTCGGGTGCCGAGCTAGGTAGCTCTTCGAAGAGACCTGCAAGGAAATAATGTCAGAGGACCCAGGGTGGCTAACTTGGTGAGGTCACTCCGATGCTTATGTTAGTACTTTTGTAGTAGATTGCGAGCTAAAAATCAAAAAGTACGAGAGATAGAATGTACTTAATTGCGTGTACCCTCTCGTGTCCTTGGGGTTGGTGCCTTTATATAAGCTTTGTTTGGTGTGAGCTTCACGCACTGCATCTGAGATTTCCGGGAGGTCGCCTAACCGGTCCAAGATCCCTAGAGGTAAGCGCCACGCACGTTGACCATCCTCTGGAATACTCGGTACGTGGGCCAACTTCCGAGAAACATGCGAGTATCGGGATATGCATACCGAATTTGTCGACAAGCACAACTCGCAGGTCACCTCCTAGAATTAAATCAGGTCGGCAAATCCTTGAGGAAAGTCGCTCCTCACGTCGAGATCACACCAGCAGTGACGATGTTTGAGGTTTGAAGAGATAATGTTAGAGGTTTCGTTTTCGTTTATGTAATAATTGCAATGGTAACTTTTAGCTGTGTAAAAGTCTAATTAAGGAGAAACTTGCTTAATTAGAAATTACAATAAGCGTGTCGCATCAAACAGAGACAGCTTAGGATGGTTGCCAAATTGTTGGGATTTTGGTCTCTGTAGATTGTTCTACTGAAAAAAAACTATCTACGCAACCCATCATGATATATATACATCGCCAGTCATTGTATTTGAGATATTTTTGTCGTCTCAATCTTCAACATGGTCTCCACTTTGGCCATGAGCTGAAGCACTTTCTTCCAAGCTTCCGGAGAAGATAATGGCTAGTCATGTCACTATATATTGCATTGACTAGGAATAGCGCAGAAAGTCTACCTTGTATCTCTCTTCTCTATAGAACAGACAGACGAAAGATGGGTCTGCTTTTCTACGTGTAGACGAAAGTCTACCTTGGCGTGCGCTTACTTCTTCACCAAGATGGTTTTATTATTGTAAGGTTTATCATCAGGCTTCACCAAGCAATATATAAATAACCATTTCCATAAATAACAAAGAATGAACCTTTCAAGCTGACTTAATTGGCCTTCGATTTGAGAATGTTTTAATTTCTTCATTGAATTTATTGGAAATTTCACTAGGAAACATGAAACAGCTGTTCAACATAAACACCAGACCAAAACGAAATGATAGCAGAGAAAAAGAACCACACGGAAAGAGAAAATATAGTGTTTTCACCCAATGACTACAAGGACTGAAAGATATCAATTACATTTTTTTTTTGTGAAAAAAATTAATTAAACTTTCTCCCTTTAAAGGGTTTATGAATTCTCCAGCCAAGATTATGAAGACTAAAAGGGTAACGTCAATGTTGAGGTAAACTACCTAAAATTATAAATTCTTACCAATATTGCCGTTTTCTTTTGTAAAATACCAAGTTTCAAAAGGCATGGCTTTATAGTCTATACAGCTGCTTAGGTATGAGTCACTGAACTCGTTCTTTATTCTTGAAAGGTGATGGTGCCACATTGTACTGAGTGAAAATAATCGATTGACCCAACAGATCAGTAGCAAGACAATCAGTAGTAATATAATTCAGAGGCCTCGTTCACTTTTTTGTAAGTTATTTATATATCCGAGTAAATGCAATTGCCTGGGTAAATAGTTTATCCTAAGAAATACTTATCAGGTAAGTGTATTTATTCATGTTTTTTTATTTCTCAAGTAAAGAAAGTAATGCCCAATTTATCCATAAAAATCCATTATTAAAATAGTGTTGGCAATTTTTCCCCCAGGTGAGAAAATTATTTTACCCACCTAAGATATGGGTATCACTTAATTACCCGGGCAAATGATATCCAAAAAAATAAATTTTCTCTGATCCCCATATTAATCTGAAAAAAGAACATATGATTCTTGGTCAATGGGAACTAAACCCCCCTCCTCTCAAAATCCCTACAAAAAACCCCCTAAGGAGAGAGAATTGAAAAGATAGCAGAGATGTATTGAAGGTGAAAACAATTGAGTCGGGATCAGGACAATCGGTAAACAGAGGTTAACATGACCCAATGACTCAAATGAAGAGGTGTTGAGGGAGAACCCCTGGTTATCTTTTCTAGTTAAAGGGTTGCAAATGGGTCGGATCCTATCACATATAGGCAGATCCAAATTTGATTCCTATGTATTCAAATTCAAATTGGATCATATTTATTGGATATTTGACAGATTGGAATTTAATTCGGACCATATCTATAAATTAGATTAAAAATGACCATAATACTATACATTATTAATAAAATAAACTAAATATGACTTCAATATTATATTTTATGAACAAAATGAATTGAAATTACTTGTACAAAAAACTTGAACCTATGACAATATAGTGAAAATACAAAATTCAGACCAACTTCAATCGAATTAGATTATATAGAATCGGAAAGGGGTGGAAGTACAATCGGTAGCAAGCTAGAGACCAGCAGATCAGTAGCAAGCTAGAGACAATCAGTAGCCAGAGGGTTAACATATGACTCGAAGAGAGAGTTGAAGAGAGGGCAGAGATGTGTTGAGGTTGAAAACGATTGAGTCAGGATGAGGACAATCGGTAGACAGACGTTAACATGACTTAAATGAAGAAATTAATGCAGAGATGCATTGAGGGTGAAAATGTTGAGGATCAAGACAATCCATAGTTAACTAGCATGATTGATTCACAGAGAGCTTAAAAGACAAGGATAGATGTGACGAGGGACAACCCCCGGTGATCTTTGCCAGCTAAAAGGTTGCAAACGGATCCCATCGTATCAGATATTTAGGCAAACCCAAATTTGATTCCTATATATTCAAATTCAAATTGGATCATATTTATTGGATATCTGGCGGATTAGTATTTAATTTGGATTATAATCCGATATTAAATAGTATCTATAAATTAGATTAAAAATGATCATAATATTATACATTATCGATAAAAATGAACTATTACTTCAATAGTGTATTTTATGAATTGAAATTACTTGTATAAAAAAACTTGAACCTATGACAGATATAAAAGTATATGAGTAAATATATTTAAATCAAATCGAATAAGATTATATAGAATCAGATAGGGGCAGATCTACATTTGATCTAATTATAAAGGGATTGAATTTGGATGTGCTCAAAATTTGCAAGTAGGACACGTCAAAAGGAGAGAACTTTGGAAGCTTGCCAAATTCTTCTGCTACCATAAACCAATGGTCATTTTGATGGGACCTGAATAAGCATTTATAATAATAATAAAAAAAAGAAAATGAAGCTCCATTATACAATTTTGCAAGAACAGAAAATGAAATATTCTATACTGAGCATCAAAATGACTATAACTAAGTAGTGAACAATAGTGGTTCTGTGTCTTGTGGCAACATGACTCCACCCGAACTTGTACATGTAGTTGAAGTTGATCCAGTATCCCATAGGCCTGGCGGTTCAACCATGGAGCACTCCACCTCTTGATTGTTTTGACCAGCCAAAGTATTCACTTGCTTTGTCTTCAGTCCCTCAAGTTCCATTGCCACTTCTTTCATCGTAGGCCTTCTCTTACTATTCAAATCCAAACACCTCTTTGCAAGGTTTGCGATTGCCAAAATTTCTTCTTTTTTACATTCTTTCACAATGTGTTCATCAAGAATGTCAAAAAGGATATCCTTTTCTATGGAAGAAACAAAGTAAGTAGCCAAGTTTCTCTCTTCTAGTGGTCTAGTGCAGGAAATTGGCATTTCTCCAGTTAGGAGCTCCACAAGAACTACTCCTAAACTATAAACATCACTCTTTTCTGTAAATTGGCTTGACTGAAAATATTCTGGGTCTAAATACCCAAAGGTCCCTTGCACTATGGTGGTCAAATGAGTTTTGTCTGTTGTTATTGTTCTTGATGTTCCAAAATCCGACACTTTGGCTTTATATTTGTTATCTAAAAGTATGTTTGCAGACTTTATGTCTCTATGATAGATTGGCATGGAAGTTGCTGAATGTAGGTAAGCAAGTGCTCCTGCAACTTCTGTAGCAATTCTTACACGATCATCCCATGAAAATATGTAATCCTCGCTTTGGTCATGGATTCGATCAAAAAGATTTCCATTGGAGATGAATTCATAGACCAATGAAGGAACTTCTGTCTCCAAACAACATCCCAGTAATTTAACCACATTCTTATGGTTGATTTGTGTAAGTATGGCAACCTCATTAATGAATTGTTCAACTTGATCGTCATCTAGTATTTTTGACTTTTTAATTGCAACAATTCTTCCATCCGATAACATGCCTTTGTATACTGTACCCTGTCCCCCTTGACCAAGAATCCGATTCTCATTGTAGTTGTCAGTTGCCTTTTCTAATTCTTCTACTTTGAAGACTTTTGTTTTCTCAATGCTACCTTTTTCTGAAGAGATTTGTTGTTGGAGTAATAAACCACCATTTCTTTTGAAGAACTTTTCTTTGCGTTTCTTAATCTTTCTTCTCTTTAATACTTTATACAACCAATAACCAGCAGCAAGTAGTAATAGTAGGCCTACACTCAGACCCACAGCTGCAATATCCATAAGAAATTAAAAGGTCATTTTATAACTAAAGAAAGACATTCATTGCTTATAGAATACAGAGAAGTTTTGTACTCTACATATTTGTATTTGTACTCCTTCCAAATTAGGTCTTCGGGGTAGCGACACTTAGGTCTTTAAACTTTCATTTGTGATAAAGAGCTACTTGTACTTTCAGATTCAACCTTTAACATTCCATTAATTTTAACTTTTATAAAACCATTTTGCCCTCTCCTCTATCACATTCTTGGGTTTTTCATTGATGGGAAAGTGCCCCCTTTTCTCTCTTATTTCTCTTGGCTTTCATCTTTTTGCTTATTCCCTTTTGCTACATTATCTTTATTCCCAAATTTAGCATTTTTTAATGTTCCTATTTACTAACAATAAAAAAGAAAAAGGTTAGATGCATCTAAGGAGAAATTGTTCAATAGATTAATGAGGACGCAGCCTGGTCAATTGCTTTTACAAGAGACAACAGACGGGGCATCACTTCTTTTGGATCATGTCTAATTTAATTAAAGTAGATGTTTCAATATGAAAACTATCCCCAATAAAAAAATTTAAAAAACAAGAGAAAAAAACCCAGAGAAAGCATGGTTACTTCTGTTTTTGGCTTATTCGGCGGTAAATTAGGATTTTGTTTGTATTTATTACTCTTCCTTTTAATAAATTTCTCTTTTTATCCTAAAAACTTGTGAGAAAAGAAAAACTTCTAATCAATCAATTGGTATCGGTAAAGAACTACCTTGGTAGACTGATAGACTACTTCCGTGCATTCACGAGTATTATCGAATAATGGTTGGACAATCAAATTTCAAAGTAAGTTATAAGACTTAATGGGAGGAAATGGAGGAGAGAATCCATACCTAGACTGACCACTTTCACGGGGAACCTTCTGCGCCTATTACATACATCTTCATATCCCTTTCTGCATCCTTTCAGATCGGAACGTGCAACATATATATCACAAAAGAACAACAATAACTCTTAATTAATTGTTTCATCTATCAGTCAGACTAAATAAAATGTGATCCTTCATTGACCTACCGGAGATGAGAGATTAAATTTTACCTTTGCATCCGTCGGGTAAGTATGGGTTCCCTTCATATGCATAATCACATTCACAGTAGTAGACATATGTTCCATTGCTGCTTTGATAAGGTACACGTGTGGATTTGGGGCCACACTCCAATGCCTCATCCTCTATCCTCCATCTCAGTTGCACCGTGCCGTTTTTTATCAAGTCTCCAATTACTTTGTCTACGTCTCTCATAATAACGTAACCTATGAAATTCAGGAATGCATCCACGCATTTGCCTACAGCGGTGTCGTTGCCGAAGCGGATGATGCTGATATTCAGGAACTGTATTGACGGGGGAATTCCGGTCTGGCAAAAGCCATCGCCAGAATAGCCATCCGTGTCCATATGAGTACCAGTGGTGACATCGAGGCAGGCGGTTACGCACCCTGTGGGGGCACCATTATCACCTGTATGGACTAAGGCAATACTATCGCAACCATTGACCGTCAACGAATTAAAATATGAGAAGCTAAATGGAGTTCCCACAAAACTGATGTTCATAGTTGCAGGAGATGAGCCATCGCAGCTTGAAATCGCCGGAGCCTTGACATAAAGATACCCATCAACAACAGATATGTATAGCACCTCCAACAACAAGTTAGGAGTGCTGGTACTTATGAATGGTTTAGGTGGGTTGTAGGAGCTGTTGCAAATTATTTCGAACTTCTGGTCTCGCTAACAACCGACTCCAATGCCGAACGGATATGGAATGCTGACATTCCCGCATGAATCTTGACACTGGGTCTGGAGCCATCGCCGTGTTTGTATTGTTGCCACTGCCGATGCTTCCGGCGGCCGTGACGATAACAAACAGAGGATGATCATTGTCAGCTGAAGCCATCGTTGAATAAGTGCAGCCATTCTCTTCTTTCACAATAAAAGCATCAAGTTATTCAACTATTGATGATAGAAATTTGGTAAAAAGCACAGAGTCTTTATAGAAACTAGAAACTAACTAATGCTCTCTCTGGGATGAATTATGTGAAATGCTTCTTAATTGAATTTCGCCGAAATTGCTATGCCCATTTCTTTACTTGACTAGAAGTAGAAGAATTTGGCGAGCATCCAAAGCTGTCTCCATCTGACTCGACCCACTTGCAAACTTTTTGCACAGCTTAAATTCACCGTTAATTGCAATTTAATATAATACATACTGAAAAGTGAGCTTGCTGTCAAACCTCAAAGAAGAAAAATAATGGAATGGAGACGGGTGCATCAACTAATGAGCTTTACTGTAATTGGGGCTGTATAACCCGTTATACATGTCTAGTTGACCCGGAGTCAAGTCTTACGGTGTATAGATGGAAAATGATGCGTGCCTGAGAGAAAAAGTCAAGATACAGCATTTCCATCAGCTTTGAATTTCGTCGAAACCTGCAGGGACCGACTTCACCACTCCATGAATAATTAATTGACTTACAAATAGTAAACCCAAGAATTAATCGAACCGAATTAAGAAAACCGAATCTTAAAACGCGGTTAACAGAACCGACTGAACCAATCGGTTCAGTTTTGGTTTGGATTTTTTGAAAAAAACAAAAGACTGGTTCGGTTTTTGGTTAATTTATAAATATATACTTATATTATATTATATTTATAATAATATAATATTATATATATAATAATCTATTTATAAATATATTATATATTATTTATTATTTATAATATAATATCATATATATATATATATATATTTATATAATATATTACAAATATGAAAAACCAAAGAACTGAAGAACCAAATTGGTCAAAAAACAAAACTGGCGGACCAATTAACCTGTAGTACCAATTCAATTTCCCTTTGGAGAATGAAAAATCCGGTACCACCAGTTTGATTTGCAAAATATGCCATGGTTAGGTTAATAACCAGACTTCTTCGATTGCAAACAACTCTGCCTCAATTGCTCCATCCCATGTCTTACAAAATCCATCATCACAATTTATTTTGAGGTTTGGACTTGCTTTGCTGATTATGCTGAAACTCAATGGCATAAACACATTCATAATTAGGGCTGACAATGGTTTGGGTTATTGACCCGATGGCCCACTTACAAGATAACCTATCAATACAATTAATTCACTGAACATGTAAGCCACTTAACAGAGATTAAAACCTAACAGCCATGACAATGAAAATGACTCTGATACGAAATTAAATAAACAGAGATTTGATAATATATGCATGGCCCATAGTCCACGTTATATTTATAATGTGCATGTATAAGAGCCCATCAAAGATGGATCAGAAGAATAAGATATAAATGAAATGAAAGTAAAATAATTATTATACAAGTGAGAGAATCCACCGATCTGGGTATGCTTCATCAGTACACGTAGGTGGAGAGACTTTTCTCTAATAGTTAGAGAACTATATAGATTGTGATCAATGGAAGAAAGAAATTGGGCAGGACGTCACAGCCAGGGAAGAGTACTGATAAGTATGTGGCCGCGTGTTCATTTATCACGACAAAAGCTGCTTACGCAATTAACTCACCTTAATTATTTCTTTCCTACTTCTACTTCGCTTACTCCTTAACTCCTAAGCAAGATCAAACTCCAGCTGAAGTCAAGTCAATAGCGTTGCTTCCATACCTCACCAGGGGAGACTCCCCAAATCTCACCAGGTGTAGGTGTTGGTGGGGTTGTTGCGTCATTGTCCATGAGTATGGACCGAGGCTATTACATCCGGGCCATGCATGCATATACAGCCATCCACCATTGCTCGGCGACAGTCAAGGTCCCACTTGGGGACAGTACCTCACTGCCGTCACTTGCCACTTGTCTAGATGAAGTAGTTGGGCCAGAACTGAAAAGTCTCCTTGAAATTAACATTGTCCACAGAAGAATCTGAAATGTTCAATTACTTGCTTTTTCTTTTGTTTTCTAATTAATGGTTTGAAATGTGACCATGTATTGTTACCAGTCTTAATCCTCTAATGACCCGTTTGGTTTACAGTTAGAATCGGAATTTTTTGAAATTAGAATTTTTTGATTTACAGTTTTGAAATTTTTTGAAATGCGACCATCCAAAGCTGTCTCCATCTGACTCGACCCAGCGGACCCCAGTTACTCCATTGTTACCAGATGAAATTTGTTGTCACTCCCCCTGACGGAGATCGCTACAGCGGTGGTGGAACAGAGACGAGATATCTAGAGATAGAGAAGCTAGCCTACGCACTGGTCATCGCGGCCCGAAAGCTCCGTCTGTACTTCCAGGCTCATACCATCGCCGTCCTCACCGACAAACCTCTGAGGCAAGTCTTACTTAAGCCCGAGGTATCTGGTCGATTAACGAAGTTGGTCGTCGAGCTCAGCGAGTACGACCTCCAATACAAACCACGAACTGCAGTTAAGGCCCAAGCCTTAGCAGATTTCATTGCTGAGTGCATTTTCAACTCCGAAATCCCCAGGCCGGTTGAGCACGAGGCCCCCAGTTCGGGCAAGCTCGGAGCTCCAGTTGAGTCCGACCCCGTGGGGTAGTAGCCAGTGGGGCATCTCTCCTAGTTAGGCCAAGCGCGAACTGGGATGAGGAGCCCTGGTTCCTTCACGTAGATGGCTCCTCGAACCAGCAGGGCAGCGGAGCCGGGATAGTTCTGCACGGCCCAAGTGGCACAAAATTGGAGTACACGCTACGCTTCGAGTTCGCGGCATCCAACAATGAAACAGAATACGAAGCGTTGATTGCTGGACTAGCTTTGGCCAGAGAGGAAAAAGCCAAGCATGTCGTCATCTGCAGTGATTCCCAACTCGTAATCAACCAAGTCAGAGGAGATTATGAAACTCGCGAACCAACCATGGTTGCCTACTTGGCCAAACTAAGAGAGGCTCTGCTCAACTTCCAGTCACACTTCATCAGAAAAATCCTGAGGTTGGAGAACGCTGAGGCCAATGCCCTGTCCCGGTTAGCCAGCACCAGTGATGTCACCATGAGAACCGTGTACATAGATGACCTACCTCGGCCTAGCATTCTCGGGGGGGCAGAGGAAGTCGCTCCCGTCGTTCATGCAGAGCCGAGGTGGATTGACCCGCTGCAAGCTTCTTACTACATGAGACCCTCCCCGCAGATCGCAACGCGGCCAGAAGGGTAGAGCGCCAGGCGGCCAAATACGTCAATAATAGACGAACAACTGTACCGAAGATCCTACACACTCCCCTACCTGCATTGCCTGCGACCCACCGAAGCTGAGCTCGTACTCCGCGACACTTATGAGGGTCTGTGCGGCGAACACTTGGGGGCAGGGCCTTCGCCCAAAAAGCACTACGACAAGGGTATTATTGGCCAACAATGAAGGCAGACGCCATTGAGCTCATCAGGAAATGCGACAAATGCCAGAAGCATGCCAACATTCACCATCAGCCTGTTGTCGACCTCAAGTATCTCACCAGCCTGTGGCCCTTCACGCAATGGGGCATTGACATACTTGGACTGTTCCCGCCAGTGGCATGCCAGAGGAAATTCTTAGTGGTAGTAGTAGATTACTTCACCAAGTGGGTAGAAGCTGAACCCCTTGCAACAATCACAGCCCGGAACGTCCAAAACTTCTTTTGGAAAAACATTGTGTGCCGCTTCAGGCTACCCCGGGTACTAATTTCTAACAACGGCAAGCAGTTCGAGGACATCAAATTCCAGAACTGGTGCCAAGACATGGGGATCCGACAGAATTTCACTTCAGTTGCACACCCTCAAGCAAACGGTCAAGCAGAAGTCACAAACAGAGCCATCCTCCGCGGACTGAAGGCACGTTTGGACCGAGATAAAGGATTGTGAACAGATGAGATACCCAGTGTTCTATGGGCTTACAGAACCACGGAGAAAACCACCACAGCAGAGACTCTCTTCAACCTCACTTACAGCACCGAAGCAGTAATCCAGGCAGAAGTCGAAGTACCTACGCTGCGACTGGAAGCATACAACGATAAGACAAATGAGGATGAGCTACGTACCAACCTCGACCTACTCGATGAAGTAAGGGACCTCGCGTACATAAGGACTACAGCTTACCAGCAAAGAGTAGCTCGGTACTATAACGCCAAGGTCAAGAAGCGGAACCTCCGCGTTGGTGACCTAGTCCTTCGTAAAGTTATGGTACCCGAGCCCGACGCTGACAAGCTTGGGTCCAATTGGGAAGGACATTACCGAGTGAAACGAGTGCTCAAGGAAGGAACATATGAGCTCGAAACCCTCGAAGGGAGACAGGTACCTCGGGCATGGAATATTGTCAATTTAAGACGGTATTACCTGTAATAACTGAGTAGACTACGAGTCGCTCCTAGAGCCAAAGGGTCATTACGCCGAGCTAATAATGACCTCGGCAATACGAGACCCAGTCGCCTCTTTGGCATGGGCAGACTTTAAGAGAGTAGACCATGAGTCACTCCCTCTAGCCTAAGGGCTAAAACGCCGAGCTAGCTAAAGACCTCGGTGCTATGCTTGGCTCATCGCCTCACCAGCGCAGAACTTAGTATGCCGAGGACACAGACAGCTCAGGTGCAAGCTCTCTGATGCATGGCCCACCCCGGTAAACATTGCTGAGGACAAATATCAACCTAAGTAACCAAGTAGACAGGTCGGGCACATGCCTTACTATGTCCACCTCGGTGTACGTTGTAAAGCCACCCATACCTAGTACCGAGAGATAGTTCGGGGGACAGCAGCGAAGGAACACACTTCGGAAACTTGACTCGACAGCTCGGGAAAGATGGTCGTTTCAACAAAAGAGAATGGCACAGACACTTGGCGAAATACATATTTTCATTGTCTAAATCTTTGTTACACAAGTTTCATTACAAATGGCTCATTACAAAAAAGTTTGTTACAAAAACAAAAAACAAAAAAAAAAAGAGATCAAGCTCGCGGGTGCAGGAACTAAACTACT